AAATGTCTGTGTCAAGCTTACTGCAACACACTGCTGTAAGAGTATAACCAGGAAGCGAGGTAGGAGGGCAAAATAGATTTAGCGCCACCGCAGCACGGGAGGGAGAATTACGCTCAGGAGCAAATGGATAAAAATAGACCGGAGGAAAAAAAAACATGAATCGATTCTCTTGCAGACGTGTCGATGCATCGGATCGTTGGCTGTTGGATCGATGCATCGATACAAAACGATTATTATTTAAACCCCTAGTTGCACATATGCATTTTTTTAGAGTGGAGAGGAAACATGAGAACACGAAAATCCTCCGTTATACCTTTAATTTCTTGGCCAACTGAGTTTTGATTATTTATGTAATGTATTTATGACATCAGCAACTAGGTTATGCTATCAGTTTCAGTTTCAATGGGCAAATGTTTAGCTGGAGCATTTTTTACCTACGTTGCTCGTTAGCTCTTCTTCCACAATTCAGAGAATCTTCATCATAAGATCCGTACCAAGATATTTCACCAATATTCGCAAACAATATATCTTTTTATGTTTGGACACATTTTGTTTTTTCATTTTAGAGAAATCGTAGAAAGATATCTATGAAGCCTTTTAACAATTAAGAAGCAGGATCCAATCAATGGCAAGAAAGAAACAAAACAATAGAAGTCAGTCTTACTTTATCATAAATTTAAACATGTACTCCCAGTTATTAGCATTAAAAACTAACATCTTGTGTCCTTTAAGGCCGACGATCATTTAACCTAAACTTCTCACTGAGACTGTTATAGCAGTGCCTAAAATCAAGTGACCAGCAGGATGTGAGCTCTTGCTCAGGTTTAGTGCAGCCCTACCTTTGAGTGGTTTGGGTATGAAGTGTGCGGCCGCCTTGTTCTTCTTCACATGGTTTCCCTTCATGATCGCTCCCTCCTTGTTGAGTCCCAGGTACCACGCCCGGCCTGACTGTTGCTGTCGGTACAGCATGGACGAGTAGGTGACGTAGTAGTTCTCAAACACCGACTCCTTGAACTTACACTCCGGGGTAAAATGTTCCTGAGCAGAGAACATGAGGTACATTAGAACACATTGCCTAGGAAAGAAAGCAGCTGTGTGATTTAGCAGAGCATTAAAAAGGTTGCAGAATGTGCTGCAGGAAGACAGCAAAGGTACAGAACGCGTGTGTTGTGTAATAGCAGCTCTATTTCAAAACTTTCTAATCCATCCCTCCTTTTATCCATCAGGCGCTCTGCTCTTAGAGTCATTTTCTTGGCCGAGGCCGTGGTCTCAAAGAAATGAGCTGCACCAACTTAGGACAGCTGACATTTGCATTTCCTTATTCCTGCGTCTCCATAGCAACCAGCTACTCCCTTGAATACCAACCAGCCCACTGGGAAAGATGGTGGCCAGGTTGCTGAGGGAAACAGGATGATACAAAAAGGATGTTGTTTCTTACTGACATGTGTTAATACAGCAAGAATGTTGATTAGGTTTGTGCTTCGTGACGTCTGAACAGACCTGGTGCGAAAAGCAGAGGAGTGTGCCATGTGGTGTGTTTTTCTTTTTTTCTTTTTTTTAATATTAAGTTAGAAGATGGATCAAGTGATATCAGTTTTATGAAAGAGGTTAGAAACACAGCAGAAAGCACCCAGAATATGATGAAGCAGATATTGAGGTGGTATATGTGATTGCAAAGGCAGAGGTGAGCATCGTTTTTTATTTCCTCTTTGTTAGTTTTCATCTTTTCCGTCTCGTAGCTTTGCTTTTACAGATTGCTAGAACTGTATGTGTGTGTTATTTTGTTGGTTCTTCTTGTTATTGCTTCAACACCACCCACCACCAGCGCTGAAGAGCTAAAATGAGGTGCTTGAAGCACAGCCCTGCAGCCAACTCCAACCTTCTGGCCTGTCTGATTAAATAAACGCAGCAGTGTGCGGTTTCTGTGTGTTGGAAATGACATGAGGGCAAAAATCAGGAGAAATCTTTTCATCGAGAATGTCCAAAGGTATACAAACAAGAGCTTGAGCAGAAGAAATCAATCCTTGGAAGAATATCAAGAGACAGATAAGTTGGGCTCAGATGGTGTGCCATCAAGGTGTTGATGTGACGATAGCGCAGTAATGAGTGTTCCCTCCGTGGATGCGTTTGCTTCATTACTCAGTGTGACGTTGATTTATGATATTAGTCACAACAGTGCCTTTTTTTATGTGACCTACCGAGGTGTAGACGAAGCCTTCGTTGTTCATGGCCAGGTAGAGTTTGGTCTGGACGCCCTGGATTGCCACGACACGAAGCCCCACGGGGATAAGGTTGAACACGGCTGTACAAAGAGCCAAACAAGGAACACACAGACACACAGAGAGAAAAGCAAATGGATGTTCAGAGGGAGGGAAACAGAGAACGATCCTCATCAATATCACTGACATAATGACACTTCCATTTTGCCACTGAGAGGCTGTTTTGAAAGTTTAGTCAGGCACAAACAGTTTGGCTTTCTGGACAAGCAAGCAAATAGGAAGGAGTTGTCAACAAAGTTTTCTGTCTTATGAAAGATAAGTGAGTACTCACTCTTCAACATTTAAATGTTCATAAATGTCTAAAAAGGAGAATGTAGGGTTTGATTTTTTTAAACAAATAAACATGAGCAAAGTTTGGTTTGCATTTGCAATTTAAAGATGGAGTGGAAGTATAGTCAAAACTATTTATCTATTAAAATGCACCTGAACACCTAAACTGACAAGCCGAACAAGAAGAGCATAAATCAGGGAAGCAGCCAAGAGATTCATAAAAATGCTGAAGGAGTTGCAGCTCAGGTAGGAGAATCTGTTAAAGGGACAACTGTGTACTTCACAAATCTGGCCTTTATGGGAGAATGGGGTAATAAAGGCCATAAGACGTCCTGTTTCTAGCTGTCACAAAGAGACGTAGGGGAGACAAAAAAACAAGTGGTTTCAAAATTCTACTTCTTGGCCTTTGAGTAAATATGAGCTAAAAATAAGGCTAAATGAAATTGCAAAAAATCTACATTGCCATTTTTTATCCAACCGCTATAGCAACTGCAATTCTATTTAGATTTTCCTCTGCACCAGACAGATGCATGTAGGTGTTTTTCTTTAAGGTTTTGTTGCTTTAATTACCTTAAACGGCCATTTGTCCAGTGTTGATGGTAACAAGACAGGACTTTACTTTTAATTGTGTAAAAAACTACTACTAAGCATAAATATTAAAAGATTATCCCAACAACTCCTGTTGCGTATCCTTCTGCATATTTATTTTTCATGACAAGAATATGATCTATGACTCTGCAAAGCAAGATGGAAAGGCTTTGTTTGGCCTGTCACAAATACTACAAGTCAATGTTACTTAAAAATGTTTTAGGACATGTTGGAAGGCACTCTAAAAATATTACTATTTGAGTTTTTCCATTTTTTTCATTATGAGTGATATATTCATATCTCTTGGCATATTACCAATAAATAACAATAGTATTTGAAAGCATATAAAGATTTGGGTAAGACGGCAGTAACACTAGAATGGTTGTGGTGTAATTCTACAGAGATATCGCCCATGTCAATGAAAACCATTCAGCTTTAATTTTACGACCGATCATTGAGTACATCCCCATTTTTTAGGACCGACTAGAAGTTATTCCACTTGGTAAAATAACGGACACAACAATAGTGCGTTAGAAAACACCACAAACTCTTTATGTGCTTTTAGGCACTGCTCAGAAGATTGTTGCAGCGCCAATGGTATCTTTCAGCGTAAGAGGCTGCCACTGTAGGGGAGTGCTGCTGCTGTGTGGGAGGTGTGATTGGTCTGCAGAAATGTTTAGGTTAGTGTCAAAGCAAAATGCAAGAGAGAGCCAGTATGCAGCTTTTTACTCAGGCAGACATTGCATTATATAAATTGAATTCAGTATATTTATGTGCCGCCAATATTCCGCAAAGGTCATCTTTAGGCACAGTGGAGGGATATCTAATAGCAGTTAAAAAAAAGGCCAAATAATAACAGCTAATTTCGTTTGGGTGTAGTTTAGTTACAATTCAAGATGCAACAATCTTTCTAATTCATGCATTTCAGTTGAAGCCAGGTTATGTCACATACCAATTATCGACATTACAGCTCAGCTAAATGTGTTCAGATTCAGTAACTTCAAAAAAGAATTAGTACATTAGATCAAATGAGTTTAGGGCAATTAGTAAAATGTTTCATTAAAAGAAGCTTTACCATTAGATAGTGATAATGCTGCGGTTTATTAAGTCCCACTTTTGACAGTAATATGATACATCTAGTCTAGAACAGTTAGACATCTGCCATGGCTGTTTCAGCATTATCTCCATTCACATACGGCTTTCTGCATGCTTCACTGCTGGAATATTCATCAAATAAAATGTGCCTCTTGGTTTATTAGGCAGACTTTATGGTAACTCAATAGTTACATGGAATTGTAGATTATTCCACGGAAAATCATGAAGACAGGCACGATTATGGCATGATCATTTCCTGTACTCATTTCACCAAAAGATTAATGAAACGAAGAGAAAGTGTGTGAATGTAGACTGACAAGCAGGCCTTCTCGAGTGCTGACCAATTTCCACAGTACTTTGGTTATCACGTACTCTTGGTGTAAAATGTCAATGTTTCCATCATTTAAAAGCACTCTAGTAACAGTTCACTGATCTACATCGATAATACATATCACTTTATAGAATCACGTCTGTCATCGTAGAAAATCCATCCTCTTGGTGTTGCTTTGAAGTAGAGACTGACACGGGAGAGGATCTTCGCTCCTGTCCCGTCCCACTCCCACAGAAAAAAATTGTGTCCCGTCCCGATCCCGGGCCAGAGTAGAAATCTAAATCCTGTCCCGTCCCACTCCTGGTGAAATTACTCCCACTCCCATCCCGCTCCCATTCAGAATGACTCCCGCTCCTGCACCACTCCCATTCTTGTTGTCTTCAGTAAGATTTCTGCCAATACATTGAATCTGAATTTCTATGAAGGGTCGTTAAGTTCCTGTTTCTAACTGTAGTAACTGTTGGTCCCTCCATTGTTGTTTTTGAGCGCAGGTGAAAAACTCGGAGAGGAAGCACTGTTGGTTTTTGGGTCGTGTAGTTTTTTTTTAACTCGCATTATAGTGTAGGCTTCAAGAAAAAAAACTACAAAATGGCGGCGCCAGTACTGGATTTTTTTTCTTTCTATTTTATTTTATTTTTTGGCATCGATCCTAGTTTTTTTTTTGTTACTATTGGTTTGCTCCCGCTCTTGTCTGCTCCCGTTAATGTTTAATCCTGTACCGTCCCAATCACGTGATCGTTACTAATACTGACTCCCATCCCACGGGAATCCCGTGACCCGTGGGATTCCCGAAAAAATGTCAGTCTCTACTTTGAAGTAGCTTGTGGCGTCTGTTGCTCTGCTGCCTGGTTGATGCTTTGGTCCGATATTAGCTTCTTTTTTTTTGTTTTAGTATCGGCGGATTCATGCAGGCTTTCTTCGATTCATTATTGCATTCAGAAGCCATGCCTTGAGATCATGGGAAATGCATGTATTGAGTATTTTTTTTTTTTTTATATTAGCTTCTAAAAAATGGCCAAAAAATTGGCAGTACATATCAGGAAATTGTTCGACTATTGTCATAATAATCAGTGTGGGCATTAGGGATAGGCATTTAATCACATTTGCAATAAATCTCAATTTAACTAAATGCATTTTTTCAAATCACAGAGGCAATCAATTTTAGTCACATTAGTCACTTTGGGTGGCAGTTAAAATCTCTGATGTTGCTTCTATTTTGAATTACCTGTTACTGTAAAAATGTCTACAGTTGTATATTGGTTATTTCTTCTCCCGGTGCACAGTATTTATATTGTTAAAACACTTTACAGTACAGTATTTTATTTGTTTATTTTTATCTCTTCACTGTTATGTTATTTTTTACACTCTTCTAAGGTCCAAATCTTGTGTGAGCATTTTTCTGTATTTTTTATTTTTTTTGCTGCTGTACACCAGAATTTCCCCATTGAGGGACAAAAAAAGGGATTTTCTATTCTATCCTATTCTTTTCCATTCTATTCAGAAAGCTAGAGAGTTACAGCTAAATCCATGCATGCAGGTAGAGCTTTCAAAAACTGAAACCCTGAGGTAAAACATCTACAAGCTTGGAGTTAGTGCAAATAAAAACAGAGATAAAATCGGTTAATGGTTAATAATTATCGCAATTTTAGATTTTTGGCTACATGACTCAGCCCTAATGGGCCTCTGCCTTTATATCAGTCTACCTGTACATTGGAAAAAGCCTGACAGTAATACCCTCCATTAACAAAGTCTAGTGTCTAGTTCAGCTGTCAGTAAGACAAGGAGGCCAGCCACACTCAGCTGCCTCCAGTCAGTTAATCTGTCTCACCTGCTCCTTGTTTCAGTCATCGCTCTCCCAGTATACATATATACATATATATATATATATATATATGTATATATATATATATATATATATATATATGTCTCTTCCTGCTGTCCTTCTCTCCTTGAACTCCCTGTTGCTGCAGAACTTCCTGTTTAGCTTGGTTTACACATTCTCTGTTTGGCTTACCTGCATTTGAGTACTTACACCACATAATAGAGGACAAATTAAAATATTAGAGAGGGTTTATGTATAAATTTCAAACAGAACTTTTGCAGCACGGCAAAATTATTGAAACTTAAAATTTTGTACCTAATTATTTTGCTTTTTAATTTATAAAAGCTCTCTTTTTTTCTAAGGCCTTCATCCTTGTAAAATGTTTCAGATGCTCTATTGCAAGCCAGAAGTGTGGGAACACTTCTAGCAGACAGTATAAATAAAGTCAGCTGTAATTATCTGTGATATTTTCCATTCATACGGAAAAGTCACCGCTGTAGTTGATGAGAAGCTGTCGAAGGTCTGTGATTATTTCCTACTGTTTTGTGTGTCGAGCCTTTATTTAATTACAGTCAATCAGCCAACCATGTTCTTTTTAATGACCGTGGTTGTTTGGAGACTTGAATTACAGGGATTATCTCTCCAAACCCCCTGACACGGGTGACAAAGTTCACATAGGCGTTAACGTGATGTATACTGCGTGCAATCATTTAATTAAAGAAAACACTTCCATGTGTTTGGTTCTGTACTCAGAAGTCGGTGGCCTGAGAGGCAGTAGATTAGTGCATGATGCTGCCAAACCGATTGTGCGAAAGAAGACCAGATACATAGCTTCAGAATGTCATCAAAATTGGCTATAGCTGTATCAAACTAATAGGTTAATGCTTTAGTATGAAGTGTGTATGTGTGTGTTTGGGGTGGGCAGAAGAGATGGAGACCTATTATTGTGGTGCAACATGGTATCTTTCATTATTTCTAAAATTGAAAAACCCCACCTTGTTTTTCGTTGATGTTTAATCAATTCATTTAACCAGTCGACACCAATAGATTTTACAGACAGTGTTGCCACCTGACATTTGGAGGGGAAAAAAACGTGTTCACTCTTCCTAATTAAATAAGCACTTGACATGTTGAATGACTGCCTGAATTAAATGGTCAGGATCAAACATGTTTCCACATAGTGACGTTTATCTTTAAATTGGATTTAGTCAGAGTTAGATGCTAACCCCAAAGTGCTTATAAAGGTGCTAAATTAAATCTGGGTCTTTGCTTGATACCAAACCTTCGACATAATGCAATACTCTTCAATTGTGTGAAGTTAAAGCCAAGCTATGACTAGGGAGAGAAGAAAGTATGGGACGTGCCTTTCTTTAATGCTTCTTTTTTAATCTAAAGGCAATAAAAAGGTTATTGTATTTGAGAATACTGTACTGAAACAGCAGTTCAAGTTAGAAAGTTGCCCCAGCAGCTTACAGTACAAACTAACAACAGCACTAACCTGACGTTAGAGCAGAACTTCTTAATAAATTATCTACTGTTTAGGACTTCAATTTAAGAATTCCCTATCATATTTTAGTCAAACTTTAAAATTCAACATTTAAGGTTTCACAGAAACTTTAAATTTCATTATATCTTAAAAGGTTTTTTTTTTAAAAAAGGGCTTACATAATTAAGTAAGATAATTGTGTTCAACTACCTAGATTATAGTAAACATTAGTAATTAAGCAATTTATTATCATATAACTGCCATATAGAGACTTTAAAATAAAAAAAAGATGGAAGACCAACCCAGTCAGGGCAGAAATTATATCAAATTTGCAAAAAATTATAAAACCATTTTCAACTCAAGATGAAAAACTTTTTTGTCCATCTAACCAGAACTTCCCATTTAGCATAGATTTAGAGTAATTTAGTTTAGATTTTATATAAAATCTTCTTTAAGGAACCTGTAGTCATCTAATTACGAATAAATTAATCAAAAAAAAGGAGTATTGTTGAATTCCAAGCTTTATAGAATAACCCAACAAAAGCCTTGTTATGGCTTAGAAAACATGCAATTTGAACAAAAATGCAAAGTATTGGCACCCACACTACTCCAGACATTTTAAATTGAGAAAGCTTCCTGGGTGGGTAGCGAAACGTCTTCAAACTTGGAAAAAAAAAAAGTTCTGTAGTTTAGTTTTTAACTTTTTTTGGACTGACCTGAATGACTGAGAATCTTCACCAACATAATCAAATATGGTACCATACATTTGCTTCTATGGAAGACCTTTATATGTTTTATGAACAAATGACCACAGCTCCTTACAGTTTCTTTGTAACTGTGTCCACAATCAATAAGTTAATGGGCCAGAGTTTCCTTAAACCTAATGTAAGAAAAGAAAGAGGTCAACGTTTCTCCAGCAAAAGATGCAAGATAAGAGATGAGGTCAAAGTTAGGCTTGACATGGCTATAAACCATAGAACAAACAGATAATGTTTTAAATTGTAACATTTTATCAATGGCCTGTAAAGCAAAACTATAATGCATTTAAAAGTTCCTTTCAAGAATGAACTGCTAAGTTATTTGAGACCAGTTCACATAAAGGTTCTGGTTCTGGGAACCAACGCCAGGCATAAAACAGGGGCAAAATATTCTCATTATCAGTTCGTATGAAATCGTACGAAAGGTTATGCACAGTATTTCGTAGGTTTTTGACGTTTTTCCTCGAAAAAACATATCAGTGCGCATGCGCAGCCAACCAGACGAAAAAAGCAGATCAGCGGACGGACGTAAAACTGGGATGGACAAGCTTTCCACAGTGCAATAATTACTTCATGATGTTTCTCACTAGGTTGCTTGCTGTTTTGTATGTTAGGGTTAGGGTTAATTGTATGTTAAATTGTATGTTATTGAATGGTGCGCAAGATTCGCATGCGCACTGATATCTTGTCTCGAGGCAAGACGTAAAAATACGACGAAATACGACGAAAAAAACGTCAGACAGGGGGCAGCATTTAATTTATATGCACCACAGTTCTGGAACATGAGGCTTGGACTGTTGCTCTTTAAGAAAATAACTCTTTTTTTTTTTCTTTTAAGATTTTTATGTCTTCAATTTATTTCTATCACTGCATAAAGATTTTTTTCATTGCCGATATAATCTAATCCACTTTATTTATGCAGCACATTTAACCAAAAATTTCCACTGCACATAAAAACAAACAAAAAATTCAACACAGACACAAAACAAAGAAGTAAGAGTTTAAATTAATAAAGAGGACACAGAGGAACACACAATTATGCAGTGTTAAAAGCCAAAGAGATAAAAGTGGGTCTTAAGATGAGACTTAAAAACTCCACTATTGGCTGTTCATATATGGAGGGCAAAGTATAGTAAGTTCTGGGCCAACGACAGTAAAGGCTCTGTTCCCTCTGGTTTGAAACCTCATCTTAGACACTATTAGCTGCAATTTCATGCTTATGAGTGACAGCTACTATTTTAAAATGTCTCTTTTTTTATTGGTTTCCTTTACAACATATCCCTGTAAAAACCTTTAATCAATCAACATTTAAGATATAAAGTAAACAAAGTATCAAGTGGCTCCTTAAACATCATAATTGCTGACTTGCTGTTTTAATCTGTACAAACCGATATTAGAGTTTAGCTAAATCCGCTTTTCCACGGTTATCATTACCCTAATCCTTTCCATTCTCTGTTTCATGGTAATTAATTAAAATAGTGGTTCAAACGGAAAAAATGAGACACTCCTTGAAGAAGACAATGCATTAATTGTGCAAAGAGCAACACCTTCACGTGAATGTTAAAAATATCGGCAGCAAAGCTGAATAAAATACTCAATGTACCACAGATGTACTACTTATTAATTTTTTTCCCCTATTTTTTTAATGACGTATCACAAAGTTTTGCCATTACTATATCAGTGGTTGCAATGTGATAATCAGAAAGGACAGTTTGAAAGCAATATTTGGTTGGATATCATATTTAATGCACCCTGTCTTCTCTACCTAAAAAAAAAAAAAAGTCAAGGTGGATAGTCTCTATATTTTATTAGCTGATATATGAAAGCTTCCAAAAAAATGTGTGGTTGCTGAATAATAGAGAACAAAGAAGCAAGTAAGGAAATTGTGGGTTATTTAATATCATTATCGATCTCCTCATATATCTTAATATATATATCTATATAGTTGTATGGTGAAACCATCTTTTATAAAAGCATTTTTAATTATGATTTAAGATAATCAGTGATTCTGAACACATGAAGAGAACATTTTAAACTAGACAATTACTTGAATATGATAAATTGAAAAATGTTGACATTTGTCAAAGTAGCTCCTACCCATTTACTTCATTGTGTCCGGCCAAATCTCTGTTTCCAGGGCCGAAACATCAGACCCATTAGCCCTCCTAAAACTCCACAGAAACATTTTGGGACACCATATCCCTTCGAATTATCAGCCAGGAGGACAAAGCTCCAATTCCCCAGGGTTATCCCCAACATTACTTCCTTTATAACCTTTCCTGCTGCATTTTATTCTGGAAGAAGTTCAAATATTCAGCTCAAAAAATGCTTCAACAAGCATCGTCATTTCTCACTCATTGCAATTACATAAACATATATATGTAACTTATACACTATAGTGTGCCTGCATGTTATGTAACTAGTTATCAGTCTCACAGCAAACCTTATTTAAATGCATGAGGACAAAATGTAACTGTAAATATATAAAAAAAATACCTGCTTTTATTCATTTGCAAAAGTATATTTAGTAGTAATTTGCACTCAAATTGTATTATACTTGGTATACAGCTAAAACAACATTGCACACACTTTAATAAGCATACTTATCAGTAATGAGGTCTGACAATATGATAAATCTGTACTTGGTTCAACGTTGTTTCAGCAGGGAAATAGATCAGAACAAATTATTAACCACCTTTCCTGTTTTTGGACTTACAAGAATGAATTATACAGAAGTTTTACACCATTTATTTCTGTATTTCTGCTTTGGTTTGTGGTATAAAGCAAAACAAACAACAAAAAAACATCCTTACCATAGGTGCTGTCCTCATCCTTGGTTCCATCGACGGTTCCATCAGACTGCATCTGTAGCTGGAAGCCCTGACGACTGGAGAGCCTGGTCACTATGCCCTTTAGCTGGGGCTCTGAAAGAGAGGATGGAGAAGAAACACTTCAGAATTCACGTTTGGAACAGGATGGTTTTTAACCTTCATTCTTTTCCAGCTTTTATTACACCCAGATGACTGTGAAGTGATGTCACAGGACAAAGCCTCAGCCTCCTTTTTGCATGATGTTTGTTTGCAGACACCTGCTGCTACAGGACTTCACAGCGGGACAAAAAATGAAGTGAATTAACAGCAGGCTGCACATTTCAAACCCCAGTAACACATCTTGATGGTGAAACTGGAAGAAATGATGAGCCTGCTTTAGTGATGAAGAAAAAAAAATGGTGTTGATGATGATGCTGATGGCTGCTTCTTTTCTTCCCCCCCTTCCCTCCCCGTCAAACCTGGTGGTCGCCTTCTCTTCCTCTTTTTTCTCGATCCAAACAATTTGACTCGAGAGAAAACATTCAGCTTGCTCGGTTTCTCGTTGGCGCCCTTGCTGTTGCTCGGACTGCTGCTGCCGCGGCAGGCGTTCGCCTTCTCTCGCTCCCTCGCCTGCCGCTTCTGGCGAATCAGGGAGCTGGCGATCGCTGCTGCACGGGACATGCTGCTCACCCCGGCGGCGTGGAACCAGTCTGTGCGTCCCGGCTGGACGGCGCGTCCGCGGACGAGCCGGTAGGGGTGTGTGTGTGTCTGTGTGTGTGTGAAGAGGGGAAAAGTGAGGGGTTCTATGCCACCCACTCAGTTCGCATCACACATCGGGCCGATGAAGGCTTGCAGATTTCCGTGGGGCTTTTTTTTTCTTCTTGGATAAACATCCAGAATCCTCCATCGGTGCGTCCGGGCGCCTCATGGAAGCAGGTGCAGAAAGGTTCCTGCGCCTCAGCCTGAACGAAACCACCTCCCATCCCCCAGGGAGGGGGGTGAGTGGGGGGTCTTGAGTGTCAAAACTGTCCGACAACCACCTCAGGTGATTTCTCTTCTTTCCCCGAGTGTCCCGCGAGAGCGTGGAAGGAGAGCGGAGGCTGCGTAAAAACCCACTCCGCGTCCAAGTAGCGAATCAACAGCTTCTTAAACTGGTGTGAACGGCGCCCCGGCTGTTGTTGTAGAGGATCACTGCAGCTGCTGCCTGCTCTGCTCCTGTCCTCCTGCTCCTCTCCGCGGAGACGCTCCGCTCCTCGACGCTGTGCGCGGCAGGAATGCAGCAGCCGCAACGTTTGTCAATGGAACAGCTCGAGGCGCGATGGGCTGCGGGGGGATCATGATGCTGCCGTGCCGTTCATAAAACTGCTGCAGCCCAGCCCGCTCAGAGGAGGAGATGCGATGGGGAGGGGAGGGGGGGCATGCTGAGGGAGGGGGAAGGAGGGGTGCAGGTGGGGAAGGGAAGGGGTTCTGGAAGCTCCGTCAGATTTAGGACACCTGTAGCCCTGTACCCCACGTGGCATGATATTTACATGTTCAGCTGATGTGTGATAGGCAGGAGGGGGGTGAGGAGGAGGAGGGTGGGTGTAATGTATGAGGAGGGGAATAAAATGAAGGGGGGGGAGGCGAGACTGAATGAATGAGAGGAGGAATAATAGAAGAGGAGGGGTTGAGGGAAGAAAATGAGATATTGAGTGTGACTGAGTGAGAAAGGAGGGAAAAAATGAAACCATAAATAAGATTAAAAAGTGAAGGAAGGGTAAAAGAGAAGGAGGAGAGATGGGCTGACGAATAAACAATCAAATTCACCTGAAGGCAATTGTAAAATAAAGAATAATAGATGCAGTAGTAAAAGCTTAGTGGGAAAGTGAAATCAGCCAATTTATCCTCAATACTGTATTTCTCTCTGACATAAAGGTTTGGGATCATGCATTTTTTTCTAGGTTTAAAGTTGAACCTTATTCTATCTAATATATCTACTTAATAAAACGATTCTTAATGAATAGAATTTGATGACAAACCCTCCACATAATTTATTATTTTTCATAATTAAATATAATCTGAGGTGTTGAGATTAGTAGGACTCACTGACAGACTTAGACAGATTTATTTGTCATTTTGTTTACATAAGTGTAAAACAAAAAGAAATTTCGTTTGGAACAGCTCTCTGGACAATTTCAGCTTTTTAAAAGTGCAGCCTTGAAAAAAGAATATATATCAACATATGACTTATATGACTTTAAATTTACAGTTCTAACTTTATATATATATATATATATATATATATATATATATATATATATATATAAAGGGGCCATCCTATTCAAAGATTTTCTTCCAAGTCAGCTTTTTCTCAAACTTTAAGGTAAGCAACCTAAAACACTGGCTGTGTCTGAATGCGAGCCCTAACCCCTCAATCACTAGAGCTATAAATCTATATAGTGGTCTTTATAGTAAACTAACTTAATTGACGTTCGGACAGATGACCACTTCTTTTCAATGTGCATTGTGGGAAATTCTGAGTCCACTACTTTTTCATCCACTAGACATTTGGACACTCATATAAAAGTGGCGTACCCACTATATAGTGCCCTAAATAGAGATTAGGGCAAACATTCAGACAACAGCCATGGTTTTTAAAGGTATAATGGAGGATTTTTGCTATTTTTTAAAAAGACCTGCTCTCTATCCTTTAAAAAAAAAAAAAGCACATGCATTTTTTTGCACCTGCTCCAGAGAAACGGCTATTAAGCACGTGCAACAGCATGCATGAGCCCATTTCTCCTCAAGGAGGTGCCAGTATGCAATGATAAGACGGTTGCTCAGGTGGATCTCATCTCACCCATATTTATATATAAAAAGTTTCCCGATAACTGGTACATAAAAAAATCCTGACATGCTTGTATGTTTGTGAGTGCTGCAGTGGACATTTGGACATGTTTGCGGGGTAAAAAAGGATCTGTGGCCACCGTATAACTACTAATGATGCAAATTACAGAATAAATAACCTTATCTTCCCTGGAATTTTACAATATAGACAACTTTTACCTGTCGTGCAGAGACTTTGCAACCAAGGCATCAGTTGGGAGTCCAACCTGTGATTTCAGTATATGCCATCACTTGAAAGAATCTCCCAAAAATACCCTGGTCTTGTTTCTCTCTTGTGAGGCCTTTCTTTTCTTCTCATATACTTTGTAGGCACTTTTTCTCTTACGACCCTCGGCCATTTTTAAAGAACCGCGGTAAGAAAGGCGAGCTTCAATTACTGTCTGAAACCTTAGCACACTACATAAAAGTGTGCATGCCCAGAAAAAGATAGCTAACTGAGCATGAAGGACGGCCTTTCCTAAACATATCACCAGAATACTTGACAATTAGAAACAACCTCTTATTTTGATGATCCACCTGGAAAACGAACATCCTCCACTATACGTTTAAGCTTCAATACCCTGAGTGGACCAACAATTGTGTTGCTGCTTGTGCATCAACTTTACGGGTGTACAAGAAACAATGAATAGGTTCCCACTGAGGATTTAAATATGTAAAAAAAAGAAAAATATAGGGTGTGTTTGATTTTGGCCTCTGCGTCCTCAAAGGAACCCGGCCTATTTGGACTGGGTCCTTGGAAATCTGTGAAAAGAGATCGAAAGAGTTCAGCTATAGATTTAACCATGTCCTTTTCTGACTGTCATGGCTCCTTCCGCAATTTAAGCTCTGTCACCGTCTCCTAGCAAACGTGACGGTTGATGTACAAAGCAGGCGAAGAATGGATGCCGAACTTTTTGAGGAGCTTCAGCAGCAGTACTGTCAATGCAGATATCAGATTGTAGTCCCCTCAATGCACTGATATTAGAATCTGTGCTTAAATGTCAGCCAAACCAATTTGCACAGGGACAGATAAAATCTTACCTGCCCCATATCTGACTTACTAACCATTTAAATTAACTGTTTTCATTAATTTAAGCTGAAATGAATCACATACTTGTATTCTATTAAACTGCACATCACCACTGTTCGTCGCCATTTTCCTTTTTTCCTCTGAGCAAGGAGCAGCCAGCTTGCTTGGACTCACAATGAATCATGGGATACAGTTTGTCCAACGACAGATGCACCTGACCTGTCCTTCCATGCAGGGTAAAGAGGGCTGCATTTGTCAGCTGCATAGGCCACGGCGCCACGCCGTGGCGTAATCAGGCAACAATGTTGGCCTTCGGAGGACTCAGCCGCCAGATACAAACACAATATATTTTGAACTAATAACCCAGCTCAATTTTTGAGCCTCTTCAGCTGTTTCTGACCAAAAAACCCAATAATCGGAATCTGATTATTTAAACACACATTTTTCAATAAAACTTTGTGTTCTTTTTTGAATTTCACCAATTAAAATCCACACTTCATTACCCAGCTGTTTTCATTGGCACTGTACATTTGTTACCGAAAAAAAAAAAAAAACATATACTGGATATGTTTAAACCAAAATTGGGCCCCTGTCTGCTTTTTGGCGCAGAGCTTGAACACCGCTTAAAGGTAGCAGCTTGAACGAGAAGGTGAATAACAGTGAGCAATTCTGATTAGATGAGGTGTGTCATTTTCTAGACATTTCCTTTGCATTAGCACTTGAGTGGAGACAAGCACAGAGCAGCAATCAGCCACTTCATGCATGTCTACTGCTTGCAAGCGGCCCCCACAGGAGAACAGATGCACAGCTGTTCTTCACGAATACAGTTAGAATAGAACAAAGCAAGCAATCCAAAAGATGGAGAGGATGAGGTGGACAAAAAGGCTGGCAGCCTAACGGCTGAGATTAAAGGGCAAAAAAAGAAGCCAAATAATGTTGTTCTTTAAGAGAACAACATGCTTCCTTTAAAAGCTGAAGCTCATTAATCAGAATATAAGGAGTAAATGACATGACGTATTACCTTCACTGGCAATGCAGTAAAAAGTAAATGACTAGAGTTCCTAAATAAAAATGTATGCCTTGTCTTCAGGTAAGGAAAGACTGGAAAAAAAAACGTTTTACTAGAAATGGTATTTGAAACTTTAGACTAAAGAAACACACAGGCCCTGAAACTAAATGTATTTTTTATTGTCTTTTGGTTTATGGTGTTAAAATACATGCCAAGCAACCAAGACCACACATTACAAAGGGTTCTTGAAGAAACCTCACTGCAACCACTAAGTGCATTATATTTAGGACTAAAACATTTAATGTGGTTATTGAAAGGATGAAGCAAGCAGCATCTGTAGCTAAACGCTCATTCATTCTAGGAACGTTTGCGTTTGATGGATCTCATTACTCTTTATGCATTGGAGCTTATTGGAACCTCCCACACATTTAACAACCACAGTACCTCGGTGAAATGTGCATACTCTTTATCTTCAATGCCTCACAATATTAAAGCCACAAAGGAAATCTATGGAGCTAAACTGTGGCCATAAAGGTTTTTGTAAAACAATTCTTAGAAACTGAAAAATAGCATTACAACTTAAAGAAATGTTTTAAACTACTTTTAAGATTCAAGTTTTTTTATTTTAGGTTCAGATGTCTTTTTTTGTTCCAAACTATAGACTGTTGGCAGGGTTTAGATGCCATGGGGTGTTGAAAAATCTGTTTTCTACAGTATACATATTTGTGTGTCTGTGTAATGCCAGGATCACCATAAACCAGGGGTAGGCAACATAAATCCTAGAGTGCCACTTGTCCTGCAGCTTTTGGATCTATAATTTCTTTGACAAACCCAAAACAAATAAATGGTTAATGGACAGGCCTCGGGTTAACTTACCGACATACCAAGGAGGTAATTTGGCCTTTCGTTTCAGGTGTGTTGGTAAAGGGATTCAGGCAAAAGCTGCAGGACAGTTATACGTGAAGACTGCCTACCCCTGCCATAAACCAACTCTAACTAAAGCTCCCAGCTTGCCTTGGAGCTCTGATCAAGACCAAAGTGTCTTTGTTGTTGGATTCACAGGAAAGTCCAGTGATAATTAGAGATGCAAAAGTCCTGCATTCTGAAAGTCAATTTCAACAAAGTCACTGGATTGCTTTGGACCGGCGATGGCGACTGCCTGCTTGCATTGCCAAACCCAGAACTGGTAGCCTCTGCCAGCCGAGCGTAGCCTGCAACGTTCCCTTCACGTTGCCTCAAGGTGAGGAGTTCAAGTATCTTGACGAGTGAAGATAGTGAGGGGAGAATGGAGCAGGAGATCGATAGTCTGATGGGTGCATTTGCTGCTATAATGCAGATGCTGAACCAGTATGTTGAGGTGGAGAGCTGAGTGAGAAGCAAATATCTCAATTTAACTGTTGAGCTACGTTCCTACCCTCACCTATAGTCATTAAATTTGGATCCTG